TGAATCCACGGCCACCACGAAGCAGTGTTGCCTAAAACCTCAAGCAGGAAAGCCTTGGCAGCATGCCCAGCAAGATCCTCCGGCAGACGCTCGAGGTGATCCTGGATCTCTTCCGGTTGCAGGACGAAGAAAGGTCGCAAGTGTGGCGGTTGCACCACTTCCACATGTACAAGGGCCATGAGGCAAGGTGGCTCTAGATTGTTATATAGTTACCGAAAAGAGTCATACCGTGGCAAGGCCTAACAGGTGATAAATACATGTCGATACATGCGCAAAAATCAGGAAATATGCAGGCAGTGCAGGCAGGCGGCAAGCAAGGAAAGGTAAGGGCAGTGCAGGCAAGAGCACGATGTCGGGATCCGCGTTTTGCACACGAACCCTGACCCCTGATCCGAGATTCACTCTGAGTCGAGCACTTCCACTACCTCTACAGAGTTCAAATTCTCGCAGCAGTCCTGAAAGTTGCTCTTTATAACTGGTTTCCTAAAGGCCCCGGGCAGCATGCCTAGAGTGTCGGCTTGTTCTGGGGTGGGGAGCGGGAAACCTAACATGCGTAGTCTGGGTACAATTTCCAGGTGTAGTGCCGAGGCCGTCATGGTGCAGAATGCAACAAGCACTACTCTGTCCGACGCTCTCTCCAACGGTTCGGGCACGTAGCCAGCATGAAGCTTCCTACGCGCGTCAAAAATGACCGGTTCATCAATGTTGAGAACAGTCCCTTGAAGTCGAAACCCTCTAGAGAACATCGCCGTAGGTCCGGCCCAATCCTGAATCCAAAGTCCTGACCCTGGGGACGAAGGGGTCAGGCAAACGAGAAGCGAGGGGTAGGGGCCGTTGTTAGTGTCCCGATGAGGCTCATCTCTGCATCCCTCCCGGAGAACGTAGGTGGTGAACGAAAAGCCTGGGGCTATAGAACGTAAAAATCTAGCCACGACACAGTTGAACAGCGGGACGTCAACGGAGTGCGATAACATCAGCGCCCTGTTCCTAGGATTAGCCCCACCTACAACGTAGGAGCAACCGTCCCGACTACGCTTCCGAAAAGAAAGCGGTAATCCGCGGAAAAGCCTCAACACTTCCTGCTTGGTTGGTGCCTGTCGTCTCCTGAGTAGGCAGGGTCAGGGCTTTAGACTCAACCGGCATGGTGAGCCAGTCGAACGTGACGGCGACATTCGGGTCCGTAGGGTGTGTTCCTAGTGACCTAAGATGGGCCTCTGGATCCCAAGGGTCATAAGCATCATACGTGAGGTCTATCCTGAACCTGTGCGGTGGAGGTGCTCTCGGTTCCTCAGTCAGGTCAATAGGGGCGTGGGGTGCAGGTAGCAGGCAGCAGGCAGGCCACATAACGGCATATATGGGAAAGCTGTACCTGATATTGACTCTGAGCCAGGGGCACTGCGA